CATTTTTCCTTTTATCTGACAATTCTTATTAAGGAGACATACATCAACCTGAAACACATAAACCTTAAATGTAAAGGACATGATTCAAATTCCATCCTGTACAACAAGGACCCGAGTGACTTTGCCCAAGAGCTATGGTGGTCCCAATACATCTCTTCTGTCTTCTGGGATGCCTGAACTCCAAATTCTGCCCAAATCCCTCTAACATTTTATTCCTAGCTAAGGACAAGGAACACATGAATGACAGCAATACTGAAGTGAGTGGCCTGTTCTGATTCCTCCATCTGACTCACCCCTCATAGCCAATCAGTCTTAATGTCCTGTTGATATCACCCCCAAAGATTTCTGGAACCCATCTCCTCTCCAACCCACGGTACTTAATTCAGGTCTCCTTAGTTCTCACCTTGACATCTGCAACAGCCCCTTACTGGAGTGCTCATATTATTCTAAAAGTGTGTACTGAGCACCTATTAGGTGCCAACCATTTGATTAGAGGGACACAGCAACAAACAAAGTGAATACGATCTCCATGCTCCTGTAGATTACAATGGTTGGAGGAGGCAAGCATTATACAAATCATCACATGAACTGACATCATTACAATTTATGAAACATACAACAAAGTAGAATTAAGAGTGTGATGACAAGAGACTTCTGATTTGAGGATTAGGAAAGGCTTTTCTAAGGAATAACAATAAAGCTGAGACTTAAATGATGAGGAAGAATAAGTGATGAGTAGAGGAAAGAAAATTCTGGGCAGAAGACAGCAGCATCAAGACCAGGGGTCAGCAGACTTTTTCTCTATAGAACCAGATAGTATATATTTTCTGCTTTGCAGGCATACAGGCTCTGTCTCAACTACTCAGCTCTGTCAATGTAATGCAAAAGCATCCATAGACAAGAAATACATAAACGAATGAGTATAGCTGTGTTCCAATAAAACTATTTATAGCCACTAAGATTTTAATTTTGTATAATTTTCACAAGTTACAAATTATTTTTCTTTTGATTCTTACTCAACCACTTAAAACCATTCTCTCAATGTAAAATTCATTCTGAGCTACCAAGCCATCCAATAACAGGCAGTAGGCCACACCTGGCCTGGGGGCCGTAGTTGAGAGCTGGCCAAGAGGAGCAAAGAACTGGATATGTTGGAGGAACTCTGAGTAGATCCCTGTGGATGGATCAGAATGAGAAAGAAGTGAAGAAAGCACATCATAAAGGGAAAGGGGAAGCAAAACTTACATCACTCCCCATCTTCTGGGCCATGTCACAAATTCTGAAGCCTATCCTAAGAGCAATGCAAAGCCATCAAAATGCTATCATCAGAGGAGTGAGAAAACTCTAGTTCTTACTCCCACGCAGACATTCTCTTACCTCTAATCCAATCTCCACACCCCTGCCAAAGTTACCTAAGACAGTTCCCTTCTTGCTTAATAACCATCAATCAATCTCCATCACCAAATAAACCCTTAGCAAGCCGAACCCAAGCTACTTACCCAGCCTCATCTCCCACTATACTCACTGAACCCCCCCAGCTCTTGCCCTAGGACTTACACACACCACGACTGAAACAAGGTCTCTCTGCAGAGTATCTTTCCTATCTTCTCTGCTACACAAAACCTCAGCTTGTACCTCAAGGCTCATGTGTAATTACTTGCCTCCAGGAAGCAAACTGTCTTCTCTCAAAGCACTTTGCACATTCCTATACTGCAGTGCTTTGCACCTACTCCTTATGCTCCCCCCCCCTCCCCCAGTGGCCTCTATGCCGTCAAGGATTAAGTTGAGTCCTTACTGTCCCCGTGTCCCTGGGGCCTATCACAGTTGCTGGTTCACAGCTGGAGCTCAGTGAAGATGTGGCAAGTTAAGGAATAAAGGGTATACGAATGACAGCTGTAAAGCTACATGACTATGCCAGTTGTCGAGTAGGGCAAATCATAACTAAAGCTAAAATGTTTCATTATTTTAGTTATACTAAGTTTCCATTTGTATTGTCAGGGCTATGGCTCAGACCCTTTAAATCCATCGTACAGACCCCTCACACACGAAAAGATCCCGGGAACCACTGGCAGACGACAGGAGCTCAGTCCTCAACAACGGCAGCAGCAACTTACAGGTCCAGCAGCTTACAAGTCTGGCGGTGGCAGCGGCCTCTCGGACGGTCCCAGGGGCACTAACAGCAACAGCCTCTAGCAGCAGTAACAGCCTCCCTGTAGGCCCCTCGGGTGTGGGGGGCACTGTGGATTAAAGCCACTCATCCTCTATACTTAAGTCATAACCCAAGACACCTGGGAGCACATGCTCAATTACAGTAGACAATAACCAAGGAACACCTGGGCACACATGCGTATTTACATCAAATGCTCGGCAAGATTCTGAACATCTGAGGGGCCCTGACCATTTTCCTATATTTTCCCAACAACTGCTCAGTGAACTTAGAACACAGAATCTCATGTTCTTGTCTTGCATGTCCACTTGAACAGCTCTGCTGAAGATATCCAACTTCCCTGTGTCTCGAATCACCTCCCATCACTGTATTTAAAAAGAAAGTTTCCAATTCTCTACAAGGGGATGCTTTTCAGGATAAAAAGTGGCTCTATAACAGGCCTGCAACATCAGCATCACCTGGCGACTTGTTAGAAATGCAAATTCTCAAATTCTCATCCCTACCACAGGGCTACTGAATCAGAATCTGAAGGTTAACAAGATCTCCAGGTGATTAATTCACACATCAAAGTTTGAGAAGCACTATACGTCATGCTGGTCAGGCTTTAAGAAGACACTAAAATTGATTTTAGAAATATCTTTAATTTTGAATTTGCAATCATGCTAAAACCAAAGGTATCTTCAGCAAGAATCCCTGTGCATGATTACCAAAAAAAACCAGAACAGATTTGAGACTCAACCTTCAGGTAGTTGAATACATAGTGAGGCAATTATTTAGAGCCTTACTCAGAGAATTCCGAAAGGGAATTGATTTTAAAAATAAATTAGAGAGGAGCTCAAATGCGTTCACCATAAAGAAATGATAAATTTTTACAATGATGACTATGCTAATTACCCTGATTTGATGATCACACACTGTATACACATTTGGAAATATAACTGTACCCATAAATATGTACAATCAATGTGTCAATTTAGAAAATTAATAAATTAATAGAAGATGCTCTTAGAAAGTCACAAACACTGCCATGTAACCTAGAACTTAATTATTTTCTGTGGGCTTTATTTAGCACAGTTTGATCTCAAATGCAAGACGATATGTATCCTGAGAGATTCACACCAGATGTGCACTTAGATCTCCTGGGATATATGGCCTGAACTGGCCACACAGCAGGTGCTCAGGAAGGCCCCGCTGATGAAGCAATGACCCTCTGCCCAGTCTTCCTCACTTAACTCAATACAACTCTTCTGTGCTGCCAAAAAATGTGATATATTCAACCCATTTCTTCTCTTGCACTGAGTTTAGGCCAGCTTGAAGAACACGCTGCCCTTGTTTCTGGTCCTCCCCAAGTGGCATGCTTCACGGGGGAATTTTAGCACTCCCTGACATGATGGAATGAGCTAGATTTGGAGCCCAGTGGATGTGGGTTTAAATTCTGGCTCTACCATCTGTTTGGGAAAGTCATAATCTCTCTCTGAGCCTCAGTTTCCCATGCCTATCTACCAGGCAGAGTTTGTTAAGATTAAATCAGCTAATGCCTATCAAACACATAGCAGAATATGGGGGCAGTACAGAACGGTTCTATATTCTCATTTGTTTCAGCACATATTTGGGTCAGGTTTTCAGACTGACCTAATCCAACTCTCTTTGTAGATGGAAAAAGTGAGGGCTGGGATGACAAGTGCTTTGCCCAGAGCATGCAATTGTGAACAGCAGAGTGAGTATTAGATTCTTGAAACACCTGACTCCTAAGAAACTATGTTTTCAAACTCACAGCAACCATAGAAGCCTTTCCCAAACTAAAATGTACAAAACAGCTCAATATATAAGACAGAAAATAAATGAAGCCTGCTTTGATAACTGAAGCCCTTCTTTCTTATCCCCTTCCTGCCCCATGGTGGCAATCCTAGGGGCACCTTCTCAGCACCCTTAAGCACCCCCATTTCCATATACAATTTGAGTAATTGAAGACCCAGCCCACCTGAAACCTCAGAGCATGTAAATGAATCACACCAGGTCTTGCTCATTAGATGGATTCTCTATTCACCAGACCACCCAGGGGTTTTCAAGTCCCTGAGGTTTCCAAAGGACTTGACCTTTCCCACACATCCATCTCTAATGGGAACCATTAAGCTGACATCTCCATTCTCCACACTTCATAAAGGAGTCCTAACATCTGGAAATGGAAACCACCTGCAAGTGCTTTGACCAGAGATCGCCATATCACTCAAGGATGTGAAAACTCAAGTGCAGGTGAGATGGGAAAGGGATACCCTAAAATGCCAACAAAGCCAGAGATTAATAATTTGGGGCTAAAAGTGTAGAAAAGGAAGGCTCTGGTCAGAAGATCTGGACTTAAATCCTAGTTCTGCCGCTTTCTAACTGGAATGGTAATTAACCTCTCTTAACTTCAGTAGAGTACTGGATATTAAGGGAATTGATTTTGGAGCCGGCCAGTCTTAGGTTCAAATCCTGGCTATCATGTACTTATTGTGTCACTTTGGGTGAGTCCATTTATGTCTATGAGCTTTAGTTTTCTTGTCTAGAAAATAGATACTCTGGGGAAAAAAAAGCCTACTTCACAGGACTGTTTTTGACATTCAAAGAGATAACATGTGTAAAATACCACAGTGCCTGGCATGAGTTAAGCACATAAAAATGGGAGTGATTTAACTGTAATCTAATCAATAAAATGGGATCAACCTTCCTCAGAGAGTTGCTGGGAAAAATCAAACATAACCGCCTTTTGCAGGGTTCCTGGTATACACAGATGCACAATAACTGGAATCCTTCCTCCACTATTAGTATCCTCTCCTCACCCTTACACACTCACCTCTTTCAGCCACAGAAGCTTTGGGGCCTGCATTTCCACAGACATCAACCCCCCAACGTACTGGAGGACGCTGTGCTTGGTTTCATTGATTCTTTGGACCTGACTGACTGCTCGGTGGTCCAGCCACATGATGATATTTCGACGGGAATCCCCTGGCAGAAACAAGAGAGAGACCAGGATAGACATGCATTCTTTTCCTTCTAAATTCAAGGGGGCACTTAGGGATTCCCAAGGGCAAAATGCTGCACAACTACTACTATAATTTAATGTACCAAGAATGAACCAAGGGAAAGGATACCAGCAAGGCTAATGAGTATACTGTACCCAAACCCTGGATTTCCCTTCTAGCAATGTGTTCTTTGACCATAACTCCTGGGTTGAAATTCTACACTAAAACAAGGCAAAATCTACCAATCATAGTATTCATTCTCTCCAACATATTCCACACCTTTCCTATTTCCTATGTTCTAGAAAACCTCTTCTGGGCATATATTCAGGAAAAGCACCTATGAAATAAGACTAAAACAATACTTGTACTTTGGTATTTCAAATATCTCCTTTAAGTATGGACAAACAGTTACACAGTGAAGTTTATCTGCTTAAGTTCCCACTTTTTCTAGTCAGTTTAATTAAAAGTAGTTCACTTAGGTGTTTTTTCCTCATTCAGGTGGTTTGGTGGAGCGGGAAGCATGTGAGTTTTGGAATTAGGCGGACATAAGAGGAATGCTGACTCCTATATGATGGATACATATTCAGAAAGCTATTAAACTTCTCTTAGCCTCAGTGTCTTCATCTATAAAATGAGGGTAACGATGCCTAAGAGCACATAATGAATGCAAGATCTCAGTTAATCCTTAAGTAAAAGATAATGTGCATAAAAGACATGGCACATACCTATCACAGAGCACACCCTCAGGAGTAAATCATTAGGAACAGAATTTAAAACTAGCTGGAAAAGGAGCACTGGCCCTCACGTCCTACCTCTACCATCCTGTAGCCCACACGGTAACTGTCCCTTTCTCTTCCCCAGTCCCTGTTGATTCATCACGTATTCCTCCTACATCCCTCAGATGGCAAAATGCAGAGAAGGGCAATGAGCACACCTGGGAGACTGTAAAGGGAAAGACAAAAGGGGACCCAGCAGTTCCTGAGCCAGGCATTTTCACTCATTTTATTTAATGGCAAAGTAACTGCAGCAACTACATATCTCACTAATAGCAAATGTTTATAATGTATATTTGTGTGTGTCTCTAGCCCTGTGCTAAACATTTTACACACATCAAGTCATTTAACCCTCAAAACAACCCTCTGCTATAGGTATTATTATCCGTTTTTCAGTGATGTAGGGAAAGTGAATATAAATGGTCAGGGTCCCTCAGGGGTTCAGAGTCTTGAGGAGCATTTGATATAAATACGCACGTGCAGCCAGGTGTTCCTTGGTTATTGTCTAATGTAATTGTGTGGGTGCACCCAGGTGTTCCTGGGTTGTCTGACTTAAGTATAAAGGACAAATGGCTCTGATCCACAGTACACCCCACATCCAGGATACGCCCACAGGGAGGCTGCTACTGCTGCTGGAGGCTGATTGTTGCCAGGGGCCCCAGGATACCCTGAGAGGCCACCACCACTGCTGCTGCTCCTGAGAAAGCTGAGGACTGACCTCGTGGCATCTACCAGCAGCAATTACCTAGCTTGTGGACCTACATGTGCAGGGTCTGATGACACAGCCAGGCATGAAAGGGGTCTGATGATGACCCAGTCTGTACATTGGGTTTCAGGGGTCTGTGGGCCCTAACTCTGAGAATACGATTGGCTACATCAGCAGGATGTTGACAATAGTGCTAATAATACAAGTGACAAACTGAGACTCTTAAGGTTGAAGATGAGCCCAATGTCTTGCCGCTAGGAAATGCATGAAGTGTGCTTTGAAACCACATCTGTGTAGAGAAGAGATCAGTAAATTGGTGAAACAAACTAGAGTTAGCAATTGTCAGGCTATGGTCCACAGACCCTGCAAACCCATTGTACAGACTGGGTCACAGACCCCTGTAAAGCTACACAACTACGCCAGTTGTCAAGTAAAACAAGTCATAACTAAAGCCAAAATGTTTCATTATTTTAGTTATACTAAACATATTGTCAGCTAGGGCTCAGACCCTTCAAACCCATTGTACAGACTGGGTCACTAGACCCCTCACATGCAGGTCCATGCTAGGTAATTGGGAAAGATCCCAGGAGCCATTAGCAGATGACACTAGCTCAGTCCTCAGCAATGGCAGCAGCAGCTTACAGATCTGGAGGTAGCGGCAGCCTCTCGGAGGATCCTGGGGTCACTGGCAGCAACAGCCTCTAGTAGCAGTAGCGGCCTTCCTGTGGACCTCCCCGGGACATCCTGGGAGGGGGGGGTCACTGTGAATCAGAGCCAGTCATCCTTTATAGTTAAGTCATAACCCAGGACACCTGGGGACACGTCCATATTTACATCAAATGATCAGCAAGATTCTGAACATCTGAGAGGCCCTGACCATTTACTTTCACTTTCCCTGCAGCCATATTAACATGAATGACGCAAGCTGAGATATTGTAAAAAACAATATATTTTGTTTGTTGTTATGGCTATTATACATATGTAGTAAAAAACATAAAAACAATGTTTTTATGAACAGCAACTATAGCAGAATGGTTACCTGCAGGTGATGGGGGGAAAAGATGGCCTGAAATTATAAATAGTTCTAAAGAAAAAAAAAAAAAAACCTGAGGCAAATATGGCAAAATTTCATCTATTTATTCTTAGTAGTGGGTACGCAGGAGGCTATTTTATTTTCTTTACTCTTCTGTTATCTTTAAAAAGAATTTTTTAATCTAAAAGAAAAAAAGATCAACCTAAGAAAATATCTAAACTACGTCGTCACCAACTTAAAAAGACAAAGGCTCAGTCACTGGTTTGCCTTACCAGAAAGATTTCAGGTCCCACAAAAGCTTCACAAACAACAGCAATGACTTGAAATGAAGACAGAGTACATGAGACCTTCCACAGGCATGTCAAATAACTTTTTTTTAAACAGCAGAGAAGTCTGACTGTATAGCAGAACTGCTCACAGTTGTGGTTCTTAACCCTAGTTGCACAGTAGAATCACCCGGATGGCTTTTTAAAATACTGATCCCAGATGCTATTTCAGAACCACTACCAAGTCAAAATGTGGATTTGTGTGCATATGTACGCACCTGCAGTTGTGTGCGTGGGTGTGTGCTGAGGGAGCAGGTATCAGTATTAATTGTTAAACATTGTACAGAATATATCTACAGCTAAGACAAAAGCACATGTTGCTNGTATTAATTGTTAAACATTGTACAGAATATATCTACAGCTAAGACAAAAGCACATGTTGCTAAATTTCCAACTGTAGTAAAGATAGTCCAATCAGCTACTACTGTCGTTACATAAGAGGATCTCAAGCGTAGTCAGAGCAGCACAATGGATATTGTACAGAATTACTCCACTATACTTACCATAATAGCTAATTGATAATTTTTGTTTCAGACAAAAACCGAGAGACATTAATCCTTATTCGGTTCTTACAGAAAATCGCAAATAAACAACTCAATGGAAAGTTCATTTAATCTTTTATCAAGGATCTACTACACAGGCACAGCGGTAGGTGCCGGAATACCAAGAAGAATTTGCTATGTCCCTATCCTTAAGGAGCATGTGTGTGAAGAGAAAAAGAGTCTATATAGTGTGTTGACTGCCAGACAGCGGTACCAGAAAAGATCAACCTAAGAAAATATCTAAACTACGTCGTCACCAACTTAAAAAGGCAAAGGCTCAGTCACTGGTTTGCCTGACCAGAAAGATTTCAGGTCCCACAAAAGCTTCACAAACAACAGCAATGGCTTGAAATGAAGACAAAGTACATGAGACCTTCCACAGGCATGTCAAATAACTTTTTTTTAAACAGCAGAGAAGTCTGACTGTATAGCAGAACTGCTCACAGTTGTGGTTCTTAACCCTAGTTGCACAGTAGAATCACCCGGATGGCTTTTTAAAATACTGATCCCAGATGCTATTTCAGAACCACTACCAAGTCAAAATGTGGATTTGTGTGCATATGTACGCACCTGCAGTTGTGTGCGTGGGTGTGTGCTGAGGGAGCAGGTATCAGTATTAATTGTTAAATATTGTACAGAATATATCTACAGCTAAGACAAAAGCACATGTTGCTAAATTTCCAACTGTAGTAAAGATAGTCCAATCAGCTACTACCGTCGTTACATAAGAGGATCTCAAGCGTAGTCAGAGCAGCACAATGGATATTGTACAGAATTACTCCACTATACTTACCATAATAGCTAATTGATAATTTTTGTTTCAGACAAAAACCGAGAGACATTAATCCTTATTCGGTTCTTACAGAAAATCGCAAATAAACAACTCAATGGAAAGTTCATTTAATCTTTTATCAAGGATCTACTACACAGGCACAGCGGTAGGTGCCGGAATACCAAGAAGAATTTGCTATGTCCCTATCCTTAAGGAGCATGTGTGTGAAGAGAAAAAGAGTCTATATAGTGTGTTGACTGCCAGACAGCGGTACTAGAAAATGGGAACAGAGAGGAGAAGCACAGAGAAGACTTTAGTTAGTTGAGCCTGAGGCTGCAGAGGGAGCTTCCAAGAGGCAGGAAAGCTTTTATCTAATTCTGAAAATGACTCGTCATTTGTTAGCCAGGACGAATGAAGAAAGGGGTCCTACACAATAGAGACAGCATGTAAAACAGGGCACAGACCCAAGAAGACGTCATATTTTAAGAGAACAGGAGGCAATTCAGTAGAGCAGAATTTGAGTTATACAGTCAGCTTACCTAAGGGCAGATTATTCATCCATATATTCACTTAATATTTTAAACACCTCACAGGATGTGTTCCAGGCATATTTAAGGGGAAAAAATTACTGTGAATCAGCAAAAACCATCTAAATATTAAGTTTCTGTTGCATAGAGCTGCCTAAGTAGTAACTCCCTCCACCAACCCCAATTATCACCCTTCCTTCCCCTCCTTCCCATGAGCTCTTTGGCTGGAATCACACAACCAGAATTAGGTTCTGAGCTTGGTGGGCTGCAGATGTAGGAAGCACATAACAACTGCACGGCTGTCCAACCCAGGGGCTGTTGTGATCTTCAAAAAAAAAAAAAAAAGGATCAAACAAAAGGCAAACTATGAGACTGTTTTATTACATAGTGTTGGGAAAATATAGGAAGATGGTCAGGGCCCTTCATATGTTCAGAATCTTGCCAAGCACTTGATGTAAATATGCACATGTGCCCAGGTGTTCCTTGGTTATTGTCTAATGTAATTGTGCATGTGCACCCAGGTGTCCTGGGTTACGGACTTAAGTATAAAGGATGAGTGGCTCTGATCGATGGTGCCTCCCACCCTTCGGGTGCCCCCAAGGGGGCCATAGGGAGGCTGCTACTCGTGCTGCCAGTGTCCCCAGGACCCTCTGTGAGGCTGCTGCCACCACCAGACCTGTAAGCTGCTGCTACCATTGCTAAGGACTGAGCATATGTCGTCTGCCAATAGCTCCCCCGGTCTTTCCCAATTACCTAACATGGACCTGTGTGTAAGGGATCTGGGGACCCAGTCTGTACAGTGGGTTTGAAGGGTCTGAGCCCTGTTGGTAGTCATGTAGCTTGACAATTGGCTACGTCAGCAGTATTCCGACATTAGCCCTAGCTTTACACATAGNGGAGCATGTGTGTGAAGAGAAAAAGAGTCTATATAGTGTGTTGACTGCCAGACAGCGGTACCAGAAATGGGAACAGAGAGGAGAAGCACAGAGAAGACTTTAGTTAGTTGAGCCTGAGGCTGCAGAGGGAGCTTCCAAGAGGCAGGAAAGCTTTATCTAATTCTGAAAATGACTGGTCATTGGTTAGCCAGGACGAATGAAGAAAGGGGTCCTACACAATAGAGACAGCATGTAAAACAGGGCACAGACCGAAGAAGACGTCATATTTTAAGAGAACAGGAGGCAATTCAGTAGAGCAGACTTTGAGTTATACAGTCAGCTTACCTAAGGGCAGATTATTCATCCATATATTCACTTAATATTTTAAACACCTCATAGGATGTGTTCCAGGCATATTTAAGGGGAAAAAATTACTGTGAATCAGCAAAAAACATCTAAATATTAAGTTTCTGTTGCATAGAGCTGCCTAAGTAGTAACTCCCTCCACCAACCCCAATTATCACCCTTCCTTCCCCTCCTTCCCACGAGCTCTTTGGCTGGAATCACACAACCAGAATTAGGTTCTGAGCTTGGTGGGCTGCAGATGTAGGAAGCACCTAACAACTGCACGGCTGTCCAACCCAGGGGCTGTTGTGATCTTCAGAAAAAAAAAAAGGATCAAACAAAAGGCAAACTATGAGACTGTTTTATTACATAGTGTTGGGAAAATATAGGAAGATGGTCAGGGCCCCTCATATGTTCAGAATCTTGCCAAGCACTTGACGTAAATATGCACATGCGCCCAGGTGTTCCTTGGTTATTGTCTAATGTAATTGTGCATGTGCACTCAGGTGTCCTGGGTTACGGACTTAAGTATAAAGGATGAGTGGCTCTGATCCATGGTGCCTCCCACCCTTCGGGTGCCCCCAAGGGGGCCATAGGGAGGCTGCTACTCGTGCTGCCAGTGTCCCCGGGACCCTCTGTGAGGCTGCTGCTACCATTGCTAAGGACTGAGCATATGTCGTCTGCCAATAGCTCCCCCGGTCTTTCCCAATTACCTAACACGGACCTGTGTGTAAGGGATCTGGGGACCCAGTCTGTACAGTGGGTTTGAAGGGTCTGAGCCCTGTTGGTAGTCGTGTAGCTTGACAATTGGCTACGTCAGCAGTATTCCGACATTAGCCCTAGCTTTACACATAGTAATGTTTAGTGTTCCTAAACTATTATACTTAATTTGTTTTTGTTTTTTATTTTAACTTTTTGGTTAACACCTAAAGATTGAAACTCTTTTGCCAGTCTTGTGGGTTTTGTTTTAATAGTGACTGGGGTTAGCTGTCATCTTCTTGACCCCACTCCCTGCTGCTCACAGTATCTTCAGTTAACTAATCAAAAGTTGGTCACCGCCATTCAGGTAGTCTTTAAAGAACCTTTAAACAACTTTAAAACTCTCATTTCATTTTCTAACACAGGATAATTCATCTCAGATAAAATCTAACCTTAATACAATCTGCTGAAAGGCAAGAAACTGGTGAGGGGCACCTGCAGCTGAGTGCACGTGATGAATGGGTACATTTTAACCTTTTAGGTGGGATAAAGTTATTTCAACATGTATAATTAGGGTTGCAACCTAGCTACCCTTTTAATAGAAGGCCTGTTAGCTGGAGACAATTTTACCTACAATGAGAATAAAAGATGGCATCTAGAGAGGGTACATATTTAAGCAGGTTTAACAAGGAACTCTCTTCCTCTACTTCAAGTGTTCAGTCCTCTGTGCCCAGTAATTCTCCACATACTAGAATTACCCAGGAAACTTTTAAAAAAATGTTGATGCCCTAGCCCAACCCCGAGCCAGCTTAATACATATCTTGGGGGTAAGGCTCATGAATTGGTAATTAAAATCTTCAATTGATACTAATGCACAGCCAGAGTTAATTTAAAAACAAACAAAAGTATTTTAGCATGTCAGATGTTATAGAATCCTTGAAACAGGACTCTTAGCATCTAAAGTCCCACCCCAAATCAGGCTCTCTACCGTGGTTCTTGTGCTTTACAGAGCCAAGTTCCTCCCTAACCCAGCCCCCACCGCCACCCCACTCATACCAACTGCTCCCTAAGCTTTTAACTTCTGGGACATGACTCCTATCCTCCTCACTCCACCTCTAAATCTCACTATTTAGACTAATCTCACTATTCAGGAGACACCTGACTTACAGCATCCCTAACAATCACCTGAACTTTACTTAAATAAAGCCAATAAAGGAAGACCTAAGAGCCTCCAAAAGCAGTCAAATCCATGGCGGGCCACATCTCCTAATTAGAGAATGCTGCTAAGCACAGGCCTGCTTGTTCACCATCACTTCTTTGGTCTCTGCTCTCTGAAGTGGCCCAGACTAGGACTGCCCTGCACCCCCTGGCCAGAGCAGTGCCAACTGAGCCAATGCTCAGTCACTGAAAACAAGGACCATTTGAATTCATCTCTGAAGTCCCACTACTTAATAAGACAGGGGTTGGCATATAGCAGGTGCTAATAAATGTGACAAGAAGTAAGGGGGAAAACAAGAATATGTAAAGGATGGTTATTACCACTGTGCTCTAATCATTCATCTATTTGCATACTTTTTCAGCACATGTCATTTATAATAATCACTATTTCATGCATTAGATCCACAAAAGTGAGGAGGACACATTCCATTAACTTGAATGCATAATCTGATGGAGGGATTTTTCTGAGCATTTTAGGTGTTAGGCTCTCACTTAATTCTCACAGCAAAGCTACTGTTTCATTATTCCAATTCTTTCAGAGGAGAAAACTGAGACATGCAAAGGTTAAGTGACTCACCTATGGCTCAGCAACAGCAGAAACCTGGTCCCTATCTGACTCCAATTCCAGATTGTTCCAGTGTGCCCTACCATACCACAGTCACCAGTTAAGAGAGATGCTGCTACAGCCGTGTCCACAGCTAAGGATTCTTAAAAAGAATCTAGCCCAAAACATGTTTGTAGTTACTATCTTGGCAACATTTGACTGACAATACCTAGAGTTGCCCCCACTTTCAATGAAGCATGCAATTTCCAGTGGACCACAGTCTCTACCAGTCCCTAGTGTCTTCCATTCCATTTAGCACATGTGCTATTGTTTTTCTCAAACCTGGCCCACTTCACTCATTTCTTTCGCCTGCCTGATTATCATAGACTTTAGGGCTCGCAACCCCAGTGTTGGTGCTACTGGCTAAAATTCCCCAAAAGAAACACAACCTCAGCTCCTGCGAAAAATCTCTGATGGTGGGCCCAAGTGACACTTTACATTTGAAACAACTTGTTATTGTAGTCACAAATGTCAATTACAACAACATGATTAAATGTTAATATCCTTTGGTCTGAGTATTGAAAAAAGGCCATCTGTTTCCAGCTTCTGTGTGATTCACAGTCCTGTATGTCTTGCTCTATTTCCTTTAAGTAAATGAGCGTGGTATAGGAACTTCGTACACAAAGCCACTGTAAACACTGACAGACACCCCTTCCCAGAAAACACCCAAACCATTGTCTGTTTTAAGAATACTCACTCTGAGCTAATGACTCCATGTCTTGCCTTCATCAAGCTCTCTACTGTGGCTCTTGTGCTAATTATGGAGCCAAGTCCCTCCCAAATCCTGACTTCAGGATGCCTGACTTCATGTTCTAACCTGGGCCCTTTGTCAGTCAGCCAAGTCTGCCCAGCTAGTATCCCACCACCAGGGAAAGGGGGAGGAATGGTCCTACCTTCATGGTTTACTGGTAAAGGACGAAACTGCTTATCCAAAACAACCAGAGAACACGTGGCATCAAACCCAAGTCCTCGAATTTGGTTTAAATCGATCCCTTGTACAACTTTCTGTTTTAAAAACAAACAAAAACATAAATTACAATACCAGGCTTTTAAAAGTCTGAAGAAAAGTTATGCTAGAAGGAAACATGACAGAATAGAAAAACTTATTTACAACATGAATCAGATAAAAGTTCAATATCTCTAAAATAGCAAAAGATCTTAATAATAAGACAACCAATCTAATCGGAAATTAAACAAAGGACACGAAGAGTCATTCCATAAAATAAAAAGAAATGGTCAAAGAGCATATGAAACGAATCCCAACTCCACTACAGTTAGATGAATGAAAATAAAAATATACTAATTTTTGCTTTTCATATTGGCAAAAATGTAAAAGATTAATACCACATAGTAATGGCAAGATATGGAGAAGTGACCCTTAAACATTATTCTAATAGTATAATTACT